CCCCCCCCCCCCCCCCCCCCCCCCCAATGTTGTTGTAAATTCATTTACAAGCAAAAAATAACAGAGGTGAAGTAATGATGTTACACAGTAACAGGCGGAGGCATGCAGAGCAGATAGGATCTGGTGGCGTGTTGCGGCGGCGGGCGGCAGGGGATTGAGAGACGCTCACACACCTCTCCGCCTATCCCCGCCTCCATCGCTTCCCTACTTCAATTAATTTACTTACACTCTCAAATTCCAATCGAACTGTCCATTATCTACTGCCACATTAGTTTTTTTTATTTTGTTATTTTATATTTTGTGCCTTTTTAATTGGTTTGGTTTAAAAAAAAAAAATTGGGAAAAAGGAAAAAAAAGTAATGGTATTTGCAGCTTTAAAATTAATGAATATTCCTGTGTCTGATGTTTTCAAATCTCTTCTATTCTCCTAATGGCTTCCTTCATATTCGGCCGTTGCTGAGGACTGGCGTGAGTGCAATCCGCGCCGATTGTGAGTAGCTGGACCATTCGATCCAGTTCGTCGGGGGCGTCGTTTGCAATCTCAGGGTCGATGAGTTCCGCCTCCCTCTTCTCGGCTACTGCTGAGGAGACCCACTGCACCACATCGGTGCCACCCTTGCCATTGGTTAGATATTGAGAAGGAAACTTGCTGGTCATTATTTCCAGAATGATAATTCCAAGGCAATAAACATCAGACTTGGGAGAAACTTCCTGGTTCTGGGCGTACTCGGGGGCTTTGTAGGCGAACATTGCCTGGCTCGCATTGCTGGGATTGATGAGCGGATGAAACGCGTAGTCGCTCAGAAGTGGCTCGTAGTCGTCGCATAGAAGAACGTTGCTGGATTTCAGATTCCCATGCGGCAGATCGTAGGTCGCGAATTCCGAATGGAGGAACCCCAGACCACTTGCGATCCCCTTCACAATTATTAGCCGGGTCTCCCAGTCAAGGTCAGCATGGCAGGCTCCACGGTCACCTGATTTAATTTATATATTATATAATCAGATCCCATTATCCATCTAATTTATTCGCTAACAACTACCTACCGCACGCACTTACCGTGCAACACGTACAACAGGCTGCCCTTTGGAACGTACTCTGACACCACCAGCTTCTCCTCTCTCCTATAATGATACGCCAAAGGCGTTAGTATGTTCTGATGCCGCAGTCTTCCCAGCCGCCTCATCTCCGCATCGAACCCATCCTTCCCTATTTTGTTCATTTCTCTCATTCTCTTCACCACCACTGACAGCCCGTTCGACATGACCGCCTTGTACGCCGACCCCAACCCGCCATTCCCCAGCACCTCCGCTGCCGCCTTCATCAAATCCGCCAACCCAAACGTACCCCTCTCGTCGTTGATCACCACAAGATCGGTCATCCCTGCCTTCCCCTGTTTCGAGCCTCTCCTGGAGTCACCACCTCCTCTCCTAATCGACTGCCTATCCTGGGCTGAACCAGGCACGTGCACCTCCACCACCTCCTCCCGATCCCTCCCCAGCATGCTGAACTCGTCCTCTCTGCGCTTCGACGCGCTCAGAAATATAAACACCATCAGAAACACAACCACGGCTATCAATGAAGCCACTACCAACTTGGAGATGTTCGCTTGGGACTCCCCAGGAGGAGGAGAAGCATTGTCTTCGCAGGATTTGGGGAGTGGGTTCCCGCAGAGGCCTTCATTTCCGGCGAATGCCTTTGCGTCGAATTTGGAGAGGCTGTCGGGTATTTGGCCCTGGAGGTTGTTGTTGGAGAAATCGAGGGAGGTTATAATGGAGGCGTATTTGAGGTGGGGGAGAGGGCCGGAGAATTGGTTTCTGTCGAGGTGGAGTTCGAGGAGATGGGAGAGTTGGGCCAGAGAATTTGGAATGTTCCCGGAGAAGTTGTTGGAGGAGAGATATACCTTCTTGAGGGAGGTGAGGGTTGAAAAGAAATCGTCCGGGATATCCCCGAAGAATTGGTTCCGGGTGAGGAGGAGCGCCTTGAGAACCCCGATTTTGTTGAACTCCGGAATGGGGCCGGTGAATTTGTTGTCGATTAAGCTGATGGTTCTCAGGCGGGGGAGCTGGATGAGAGCTTCCACGTCAATGGTGCCTGAGAGTTGGAGGCCGGAGAGATGTAGGCCGGTGATGACGCCCTTGTTGCAGATGATGCCAGTCCATCGAGCCGAGCAGGGGACTGAGTCCGCGTTCCATGAGTTGAGGGATCCGGAATGGGTGAAGGATTGCTTAAGCTTGAGGAGGGCCTCCTTCTCGGACAGGGGACACGACAAGGGGAGACCACCCAGGAGGAGGAACAGGAACACGATTCGAACAGCGGCCATTGCAGAGCCGGAACGGAAAATGGAAAACACGTCTGGATACAAACCAGCCGCTGTTCGAACAATTGCGTGGTTGTCTGCGACTGTGTTGGGCGAACCTTTTTTTTCGTCTCAC